ATCACTAGAGTCATTCAGATTAAGTGTTTGGGTGCACTTATTTTTCTTCGTACATGAGCCTGATTCTGTATCTGATAGATATTCCTAAAAAAATAATATTTCTTGCTCAAATGACTTTTGTGGATTAATAACCTTCCCTGTTTTAGAATTTTATTTTAGTGTATCAAAAATGCTAAAGATAAATACTTTGGATGATAATTACCAGTTCAACAAATACTAAGTAAACATCTACAAAACATGCATAATATATAGTCTCTAAGTATAAATTATGTTTACTTTAACAAGTTAGAATTAATGTGAGTGAATTAGTGAGGAAGAGACTACAGAAAGTCAAAATGCAGGTTATAAAGCAAGCAAGAAGCCACAAACTACACTTTATGGTCACCAACATCAGGTACAAGATAAACAGTGGCCTGCAGTACTGAGTAGTGAAAATCCTTACCTTGTCCTTGTTACAACTTGTAGTTGTATTCTCCCTTTTCAACCGAGTCTTCTTGAAAACAGGGCTTTCTAGCAAAAAATATTTTTATTTTAAATATTAAATTTGTTTAAATTAAACATGGATAATTCTTATATAATATTATAAAATCTTTTTAACAATTTTAAATAAAATTGGTACCATAAAGATTGCAGGTAGTAGCTCTCCTTGTTCAATGTTGTACTTCTATATTACAGTATATAATTTAAATATTGCATAAATAATTCAATAATTCCTCTATAATAAGATAATTTTGGCATAATTATATGATACTATATGATATAGAAATGAGTGACATACAAAATGCACTCTTCATAACTATATATTGTTCAATCAGTTGAAAATAATAAGGTAATTTAATGCTACAAATAAACCGGAAGTTAGCTAAGGGCGATAACTCCTGTGTTAAAAAATGGGGCCAAATACATTTTCTCTTGGCGCAAAAAAGCGCTTAAAAAATTAAGAATGGAAGGCTTTTAAAATTGTTTGTTTATTAATCCTATATCAAACTGAACATTCCCAAATCTTCCCAAACTCAAATCATTTCTCCTAAAAAGGTTCAAATGTCACCTATATTCACCTACATGTGAAATAAAACCTTTCAAAATTTGGCGAAATCTTCACTTACCACTACCATCTGCCATTTTCCACATTTCTGATGACGTATTACACATAAAAATCCACGTACAAATGAGCGAGAAATCACGTTATATGTCAGGTGACTCGAAACCGAAAGTAGAAATGGAGGTTTCCTTTTTCAGTAAACAAAACCGAAATCGGCAAAATCAACGCATGATTAAAAATACCAGTGAATTATTTAGAATTTTAATTTCACACGATATGGATTGTGGTAGGTTTAAATAAGAGAAAAAATATTTTAATGACCTTCTTGCTAAATTTGTTGCAACGAAATTCAGCTTTTTTCCCCGTGCAGTTTACTATGTGACAGATACGAAAGTAAATATGGCGGATCCTTTGTCCTCGTTAACATATGTATGTTATATGATTATATTGTTTTTGAAACGGGGCACAGAAAACAAAAAGCAAAACCTCACCTGGACAATCCCTGGTCCGGGGGTGGGGGTGTATGGGGGAAGGGTTGTTGCATTCTGCTTAAATTAAAGATCTTTACAATAATGATAAGTGTGCTTTATGTTATTGTAAAGATCTTGTATTTGAATCGGATTGGTGTAGGCGCAGGTTTAGGCCAGTAGAACCAAATCCAGCACAATCTCTTGATTAAGCTATATAGCTTTTAAAAGCTATATAGCTTTATTAAGCTATTCAAAATAGCTTGATAAAGCTATCAACAGTGTGTGTGTATTAGGTTCCGACTTCTTTCAGCCAGCACCAAATTTCATCTCGCTTCCAGATGTTGAACATCAAACTGGAAGTGAGCAAACTGAATCACCCCAGACCTTAAATATAACATTATAGTGTTTTTATCTTTTAACTGTGAATACTGTTTTTCTGAACTTTTTATCTTCACTAATAACTTAATACTGTTCCCTTTTCACTGCATTGAAATTTACTTTTCTTTACTTTTTTTTATATCTTTTAATCAGCTGCGCACCCTACTCAGAGTACTCAAAACTTGAGGGCGAGTAGTATCGAGAGATAGATAGATAGATTTCACCTAACTACAGGCACGTAGCATCGTTTTTGAAAGTGGGGGGGGGGGGGCAACCAGTTACTTCCCTGAAAAAGTTGACAAAAAAAAAAAAAAGGGAATTAAAATTTGGCCAACCTCGAAAATCCTATTTCGAGGGGGGGGGGGCAACTTTTTCAATGCCAAGTTACTTTTACTCTTTCACTTTCCATTTTTTCCCTACATTTACCTACAATTCATTGATATCACTATACCACTATACTATGGTAAAAAGTGGGGGGGGCCAACCATCCTTTCACTGAACATTTCCTATACTAAAGGTAATGTTGGGAAAAAAAGTGGGGGGGGGGGGGGCCCTGCCCCCCCCCCCCCCCCGTTGCTACGTCCCTGAACTATAACAAAAAGTGGGGAGGGTGGAGGGGGCCAACCGGTCTTTCAATGAACAATTTCTTTGGTAAAAAGTTATGTTTGAAAAAAAGGGGGACCCCCCTCTCCTGCCCCCCCCCCCCCTGCTGTTATGAACTATCTAAAGAATGACCCCTTTATTGTTTTGGGAGGAGGTTATTTTTTTATGCGCACAAATTGATTGATTCAGGCATATATTGTGTTTGTCTTGTCTGTCTGTTTATCTGTTTGTCAACTTTAACCTTCACCATTACTTTTTAACCCTGAAAGATAGAGACTTCATATTTGGTATGCATACTCCACTAATTAAGCACTTTCAACTGACACCAAGGTCAATGACCTTGTGACCTTGACTGTGACCTATATGCTAAAAATAGCTTTTTCGAACTTTAGCCATTATTTTTTAACCATAGGAGATGGAGACTACATATTTGGTATGCATACTCTACTAATTAAGTTCTTTCAAATGCCAACAAGGCTAATGACTTTGTGCCTTGACTGTAACCTATATGATAAAAATAACTTTTTTGAACTTTCGCCATAACTTTTGAACCATTATAGGTGATAAAGACTTCATATTTAGGAAGCATACTCCACTAATTAAATTCTTTCAAATGACACCAAGGTCAATGATTTGTGTGACCTTGACTGTGACATATATGCTAAAAATTGCTTTTTCGAACTTTGTTGCCGCCGGGCGCATAGTGTTTCACAAACACATCTTGTTTTAAGCAAGTTTCCTCTCCAAGTAACTATACTGGTATGAGCCCTACAATTACTAGACTAAAGACTTGTATGAAGGATACATGCATGCACAGTTGCACATTGCCAGGCTTGCTAGGTATACTGGATTTCATATACTTATAATAAGTGACCTGGTAGAAGTTTTTGGAGGATGTCCTTTAAGCATTATGATGACCAAACTTGCATGAACTAAACATCTAAGGATGTACATTACTGTACTTGCTTAATTCAGATGCTGGATCTGACCTACATATACTTCAAATGAATGACCACTCACCAAGTTAAGTTTTTGTATCAGATTCATTCTAAAATGTTATTTAAACTATTTGCCCTACATGAAAATAACTTGCATGGGTGATACATCTAATGATGCTCACAACTTGACTTGCTTTGGATGCTGAATTTGACCTTCAATTTCCAGATGCGCAACCAGTTTAAATTTTCAAAACATTTGTTTTTAAGTGACTTTAAGGCATATGCTAACCAACTTGGCACTTAAGATACATTTATTTTGCACATGATACATTTATTGATGTACACTACCAGAGATGCAAATGCTTTGGATGTGGGATTTCTCCTAGATTTTCCTAATGAGTGATCACTAGGTTAAATTGTTTTGACTGTCCATTGCCAAGAAACTGTAGTGCCTGTGTTACAACGCACTTTGAAAAATTACGCACTTTGAAAATTTTTTTCAAAGTGCGTTAAATTTGGGATCAAGCTAACACACTTTGAAAATTTTTTTTTTCAAAGTGCGTTAATATCGACCATATTAACGCACTTTGAAAAAAATATAAAGATTGATCAATATTCCTACAAATAATTGGTATAATAAATACCAGATCCTGGTTGGATAACTTTTTTATGATAAAGTCACTTCAGGACCTGAGATATTGACGTTTTAAATATTTGAGGTTTTGATAAAATAAAAGGGAAAATTAAAGGGTCTTGAAAAAAAGGTGACGATTGTTTAAGATCATTTATTTGTTTCTTTTTTTTTTTAAATTCTAGTCTTTGATAAGTAGATGCATGTAAAGGTGTAAAGGGGGTACTAACAGTGGACAGCTTTAAGCAACTTAGCATTCATAATAAAAAGGGGGCAATTTGATTGTTCAAAACTATGGAAATTCTTTCTCTCTCATACATTTTACTGTACTTAAAAATTTCTAGTTTTCATCTGTTTTAATTAACTCATTTAGTATTGAAAGTTTTCAACGTCCTACCAGTTAGTTAAATACATAATTATATGAATGTTTTGAGTATAGCATAGACATCGAGACTGGGCAAAGGGCCAGGGGAGGGGGGGGGGGGCTAAGCCCCCCACTTATTTTAGAAAGATATACTTAGTATTAGCATTACATTCATGTTGTCTTCAAATCACATTCTTCAAGGGTAAATATGAGTCTACAAAGTAAAGTTTTGACATTTTCATTTCTTCCTCAGACTTCAAGACTTACAGAAACTCACCACATTGTCCAGAGGAGGTGCAGGGTTTCAAGAGCACCATTGACATGAGACCAATCACTGCAAATGCCTTGTATCTGAAGCCCACATAAGGTGATGTGAAGCAACACAAAACTGAGGATAGGTACTTTTTTCTGATAAAAATAAGACCCTCAAGCTAGGTGAGTACTTTTGTTTCATTTCTCAGTAGTTAAACCATCACTAACATAGACTAACTTGCTCTTGCACACACCTTCCCTTCCCCCAAACCCTTATGATATTTCTTGTTTTAAATTTTGCTTATTAACCATAAGTAATTTTTCTACTAGACAGCATGCGATTGTTGTACCGCAGGAAGAGAGACGAGATGATGTAGATGAATAAAGAAGACAAGCCATCAACAGGAAGATAATCCATACATTGAGAGCCTTAGACCTGGGTTACAACTTGTGTTTATTTTGAGGTAACAATATTAAAAGATGGCCCCAACTCAGGTGAGGACTTTACTGTATTTCTTAATGAATCAAAATCATTTCTTTCAGGAATTCCTCCTAGTCATATGGATAAAGCTAACAGATTGTACTAACCCCCTCTTGCACACCTCCCCTCCCTTCATGCCTGTATGTTTTGTTGAATATTTATGACTGTTTACTAATCATATGTTGATTTTTGTCGGGCAGCAGGCAGTTGATGCCTAACAAGATTGGAAGATGGACATGACTGATAGAAAGAAGACAAACCATCAATAACAAAATGAACTGTGCATCTAGAGCCTTGTTGTAATGAGACAACTAACCAGGTAAGGTTTTACAAATTTTTTATGAAAGCAATCTCAGAGGTGACTTCAAGTCACTTCCATAGCATTGATTCATGTTTTATCTTTTTAAATTATATATTAGGAGTTCATGTTATTATTCATTAGGCAACATATAGTTATAAACTCCCTGAAAATCATGAGATTTCTCTTTTTTATCTTGGTCTGTTTTTAACATAACAATATGTACATTTCTACTGGACAGCATGCAGTTGCTACCCAACAGGAAGAGAGAAGATGACTGGAAGAGTAGAGACAAGCCATCACCAGGAAGGTTAATCCCAGACATCAAGAATCTCAGACAAAGGATGGGTACCTGTATTTATTTTGAGGTAACACAGTAAAAAAAAGTGGCCCTAATTCAGGTGAGGACTTGACAGTTTTTTATTGAATCAACATTATTTCAATCAGGAATTCCTCCCAATCATATGGATAAAGCTAACTTGATACTAACCCCCTCTTGCACACCCTCCCCTCCCCTCATGCCTGTTATGTTTTTGTTGAATATTTATGACTGTTTACTAATCATATGTTGATTTTTGTCGGGCAGCAGGCAGTTGATGCCTAACAAGAAAGAGGAAGAGAGAAATGATAGAAAGAAGACAAACCATCAACAACAAAATGAACTGTGCATCTAGAGCCTTGTTGTAATGAGACAACTAACCAGGTAAGATTTTACAAATTCTTTATGAAAGCAATCTCAGAGATGGCTTCAAATCACTTCCATAGCATTGCTTCATGTTTTATCTTTTTAAATTATATATTAGGAGTTCATGTTATTATTCATTAGGCAACATTTAGTTATAAACTCCCTCAAAATCATGAGATTTCTCTTCTTTTTTTTTTCTTGGTCTGTTTTTAACAACAATATGTACATTTCTACTTGACAGCATGCAGTTGCTACCCATCAGGAAGAGAGAAGAGACAAGCCATCACCAGGAAGGTTAATCCCAGACATCATGAATCTCAGAGGAAGGATGGGTACCTGTATTTATTTTGAGGTAACACAGTAAAAAAATAAAGTGGCCCTAATTCAGGTGAGGACTTGACAGTTTTTTATTGAATCAACATTATTTCTATCAGGAATTCCTCCCAGTCATATGGATAAAGCTAACTTGATACTAACCCCCTCTTGCACACCCTCCCCTCCCCTCATGCCTGTTATGTTTTGTTGAATATTTATGACTGTTTACTAATCATATGTTGATTTATGTCGGGCAGCAGGCAGTTGATGGATAACAAGAAAGAGGAAGAGGGAAATGATTGATAGAAAGAAGACAAACCATCAACAACAAAATGAACTGTGCATCTAGAGCCTTGTTGTAATGAAACAACTAACCAGGTAAGGTTTTACAAATTTTTTATGAAAGCAATCTCAGAGGTGGCTTCAAATCACTTCCATAGCATTGCTTCATGTTTTATCTTTTTAAATTATATATTAGGAGGCCATGTTATTATTCATTAGGCAACATATAGTTATAAACTCCCTCAAAATCATGAGATTTCTCTTTTTTCTTTTATCTTGGTCTGTTTTTAACATAACAATATGTACATTTCCACAGGACAGCATGCAGTTGCTACCCAACAGGAAGAGAGAAGACGACTGGAAGAGAAGAGACAAGCCATCACCAGGAAGGTTAATCTCATACATCAAGAATCTCAGACGAAGGATGGGTACCTGTATTTATTTTGAGGTAACACAGTAAAAAAAAAAGTGGCCCTAATTCAGGTGAGGACTTGACAGTTTTTTATTGAATCAACATTATTTCAATCAGGAATTCCTCCCAATCATATAGATAAAGCTAACTTGATACTAACCCCCTCTTGCACACCCTCCCCTCCCTTCATGCCTGTTATGTTTTGTTTTTTATTTTTTATGACTGTTTACTAATCATATGTAGATTATTGTCGGGCAGCAGGCACTTGAGGCCAAAAAAGAGCAAGAGGGAAATGATTGATATAAAGAAGACAAACCATCAACAACAAAATGAACTATGCATCTAGAGCCTTGTTGTAATGAAACAACTAACCAGGTAAGGTTTTACAAATTTTTTATGAAAGCAATCTTAGAGGTAGCTTCAAATCACTTCCATAGCATTGCTTCATGTTTTATCTTTTTAAATTATATTAGGAGTTCATGTTATTATTCATTAGGCAACATATAGTTATAAACTCCCTCAAAATCATGAGATTTCTCTTTTTTTTTCTTGGTCTGTTTTTAACATAACAATATGTACATTTCCACAGGACAGCATGCCGACTGGAAGAGAAGAGACAAGCCATCACCGTTAATCCCAGACATCAAGAATCTCAGACGAAGGATGGGTACCTGTATTTATTTTGAGGTAACACAGTAAAAAAATAAAGTGGCCCTAATTCAGGTGAGGACTTGACAGTTTTTTATTGAATCAACATTATTTCTATCAGGAATTCCTCCCAGTCATATGGATAAAGCTAACTTGATACTAACTCCCTCTTGCACACCCTCCCCTCCCCTCATGCCTGTTATGTTTTGTTGAATATTTATGACTGTTTACTAATCATATGTTGATTTTTGTCGGGCAGCAGGCACTTGATGCCTAACAAGAGGAAGAGGGAAATGATTGATAGAAAGAAGACAAACCATCAACAACAAAATGAACTATGCATCTAGAGCCTTGTTGTAATGAAACAACTAACCAGGTAAGGTTTTACAAATTTTTTATGAAAGCAATCTCAGAGGTAGCTTCAAATCACTTCCATAGCATTGCTTCATGTTTTATCTTTTTAAATTATATATTAGGAGGCCATGTTATTATTCATTAGGCAACATATAGTTATAAACTCCCTCAAAATCATGAGATTTCTCTTTTTTTTCTTGGTCTGTTTTTAACATAACAATATGTACATTTCCACAGGACAGCATGCCGTTTGCTTACCAACAGGAAGAGAGAAGACGACTGGAAGAGAAGAGACAAGCCATCACCAGGAAGGTTAATCTCATACATCAAGA